CCCAGTACCTCCCAAACCTGCCCCACTCACTCGATGAGGTCAGAGAGGCCGCTGTAGATGTCATCATCCCCAACGCAGTCCTCAGTAGGGAAGGGCCTGGAGGGGGGGACACAGCAGGGATGCTTGGGTCCCTTGGGGTGGGAGCCTGGACACCCAGGTCCCTTGGGGTGGGGGCTCAGACCCTTGGGTCCCTCGGGGACAGGACGCTTGGGTCCCTCAGGGACCAGACACTTGGGTCCCTTGGGGTGGGGACCTGGACCCTTGGGTCCCTCGGGGACCGGACTCTTGGGTCCCTCAGGGACTGGACACCTGGGTCCCTTGGGGTAGGGGCCTGGATGCTTGGGTCCCTCGGGGACCGGATGCCTGGGTCCCTTGGGGACTGGGCTCTTGGGTCCCTCGGGGTGGGGGCCTGGACGCCTGGGTCCCGTGGACACTGGATGCTTGGGTCCCTCAGGGACCAGACGCCTGGGTCCCTTGGGGTGGCGGCCTGGATGCTTGGGTCCCTCAGGGACCAGACACTTGGGTCCCTCAGGGTGGGGACCTGGGCCCTTGGGTCCCTCAGGGACCGGACTCTGAGGTCCCTTGGGGCCCAGATGACTGCGTCCCTTGGGGTGGGGGCCCAGATGCTTGGGTCCCTCGGGGACTGGATGCCTGGGTTCCTTGGGGTGGTGTCCTGGATGCTTGGGTCCCACAGGGACTGGACTCCTGGGTCCCTTGGGGTGGGGACCTGGACACCCGGGTCCCTTGGGGTGGGGGCCTGGATGCCTGGGTCTCTTGGGGTGGGGGCCTGGGTCCCTTGGGGTGTGAGCCCAAATGCTTGGATCCCCTGCACTCACGTGAAGCCTTTGCTCTGGGCGATGGGTGTCCAGGAGAGCGTCGAGAGGGTGTCAATGACCTGGGGACAAAGAGGGGACATTTTTTGGAGGGAAAAGCACAACCAGATGCTTGGGTCCCCCCCCCACCTGGATGCCCGGGTCCCACCTTGCCGAAGTCCTGGACATCAAAGAGGTCGAAGGCGCCGAAGAGCCGGTGCTTTGGGAGCCCAAATTTGTCAGCGCAGGCAGTCAGGAAGGTGCGGATGTTCCTCAGGCACAGGAACTGTGGTGGCACCATGACACAGTCACTAGCACCACCACCCCCATCAGCACCCCCCTTGTCACCCTCACCATCATTGTCACTGCCACCGTCATCCCCACCAGCACCATCAAACCCATCATCTCCCCATTTGTGACCAGCATCGTCACCACCGTTGACCTCCATCATCTCTGTCATCAACGCTGTCGTGGTCACTGTCACCCCCATTGGCACCATCACCATCATCATCATGATCGTCACTGTTACCAACACCGTCATTGTCACCGTCAGCTTCACTGGCACCAGTACCATCATCATCACCATCATTGCTGTGGTCATGGCCATCATCACCCCCATGGTCACTGTCACCATCACCGTCACACCCATTGACACCATCATGGTCACCCCCATCATCACCAACATCATCCTCATCACCACCGCTGTCACCGTCATCATCATCCCCATTGTCAACACCATCACCAGTTGGTACCATCACCATCCTCCCCATTTTCACCATCCCTCATTGTTACCATCAACCCTGTTGTCACCATCATCGTCACCCCCATTGGTACCAGTATCACCACCATTGTCATCACCCCCACTGTCACCATCACCACCATCATCCCCAGCATCACTGCCATCATCCCATTGCCATCACCCTCACTCTGTCACTCACCCAGTCCTGTCATTGTCACTGTCACCATCATCCCCACTGGAACCAGCACCCCCATACCCCTTGCTGGGGCAATTACCCC